GATAAGACCTATCAACGGGTCATATATTTACACATTTAATGGATTTTATCATTTCTTCTCTCATCTCCTTGACATCGTATAAAGATGATTTCCAACATGGACAAATAACATATTCTTATAATAATGCTATTTAGCTCTAGATGTCAATTAATTGATTGAAAAATTTTAAATATGATTCATATATCTTCATTTAAAATGTTCAATCATTTAAAGATATTTAATAGACAACGCACTAATGAAATTGAATATCATTATTTTATTTTCAATTAAAATGGTTTTATCTACACATTTAATTACTCTTCTTATTTCACTCTGCATCACCTACCAAATCATGTGGAGATTATCCCACTGGAAATATAAATGATTTTGTGGGTTTAACTTTTAATTGAAGTTCAAATATTTACTTGGATTTTTGAAGTTAATTTGAATTCAATTGGACTCATGTTTGGTAGGTGATTAATGAATCATTAATGTTATTTAACATAGTAGTTGGATTCAATTTAGACTTATCTAAAATAAAGATGCATTTTAATTAAAATGATCTTATCTGCTCATTTAATTACTCATAATTTGAACTTCAACGGAACTCTCCAAAAGTTAAAACCCTCCTGAGTTGAAAACTCGACCGTTACAAATATGCCTTCGGACATTTCCTATTTCTATCCGGATTTGTTAAAACATATTTACTGCTTCTCCAATAAAGAATCACAAATCCCACCTTCAGAAACGGTGCGTGATTCAAAACTCACTTGTACTTCGTCCACAACAAATTTAAGGACATAGCCGATAGCCAAATAAATAAATAAATAAAACAAACTATTTAATCAAACGGTCTTGTATAAGTATTTTAGATGACTTTAATATATTAACGAGTTATTAATTAAATAAATACAACAAACTATTTAGTCAAACGGTCGTGTATTAATATTTTAGATGACTTTAATGCGTTTTAAACAACGAGTTATGACTTATAATTGATCGATTCTCAATGTCTGATCCGATTTAACTAACATTGATCAATAAATACACACTTCAAAATTCTCACAAGTTCATTTATAGTAGCAATTTGAAATTCCCGCGAATCATATGTTTATATATGCAAGCTTTCGCTATTTTCTACAATTATTAATTAAATTTGCAAATCACTCGTATATATAAGAAGACTCGTGTCCCTCCCATGTCCATTGTAAGGTCGTAGTACTTCAAAATTCCTGCGGATCTTTTGTGTATAAGAGGAACTTTTGCCCTTTTCTAAAAATAAAAAAAATAAAAAATTCCTGGGTTCAACTTTTTTTTTTTTTTTTCCCTACAACTATTAATTAAATCGAGCGCGTGGCAGAGTTCAAATTTTAATATAAAACAATACTGTTTTTGTCAATTTCGGATCCTAGAAAGGTAGACCGTTCCTCGATATTGGTGACAGTGAATTCTCAGACTCTCAGAGTCCGACAGTGAAGCCATTTGAGGTCTTTGAGATATATTAGAGAGGTGATTCTATCTTCAGGGTGCAACAATGGTTGCTGGAAAAGTAAAAGCTGCAATGGGATTTCAAAGATCGCCGGCGAACCCAAATCAAAAACCAGACTCATCTCCTAAACCGCTGTTGTTATGTACACCAAGTTCAGCAAAGCAGCAGCAACAACCACAGAAGGGATCAAGCTCCAGGTTTGCCCGCTCCTTTGGCGTTTACTTCCCTCGCTCCTCTCCTCAAGTCCAGCCCCGTCCGCCGGACGTCACTGAACTCCTTCGCCTTGTCGAAGAGTTACGGGAACGAGAGTCCCTCTTGAAAACCGAACTCTTGGAACATAAGCTTCTCAGAGCATCCGCGGCCATTGTCCCAGTTCTTGAAAATGAGATTTCGATCAAGGATTCTGAAATTGAACGCTTCAAGAAAAAGATTCTATGTTTAGAAGCAGAAAATGATGCACTCAGACAAGAGGTTGAGATTTTACACACAGAATTGTCGAAACAAAACCAGAGGTATGAGGAAAAAATAAAGGCAACGGAGGTCGAAGTATATGATATCAAGAAATCCTTTGAAGAGAGACAACGAGAGGAAGAGTCATCATCGTCATCTTCTACGCCGAGACTTACAGATATTACCAACAATTATAAATCTAGCACTGTAACGAAAACTTTAAGAAAATGTGCCACCCAGAATTCCACTGTAGAGAATTTTGAAACTGGTATTTCTGGTAATGTAAGGTCTGAAATTGAGGAAAAGAAAGAAGATTCAATAGGAGTGGTGACAATTGAAAAGCCTCGACACTCCCTGTGTAATTATGAAGAAATCGTTGAGGGGATGAAATCCCATGCTCCACGCGTTCCTAAGCCTCCTCCAAAGCCAACGGCATCGCTTTTATCATCATTTCCGTCATCTACATTATCATCTTCTCTGTCTTCCCCTTCGTATGGTTCTTTATCCAATTCTGCCGAGAGGGTATTGGCAGAAATTTCAAACATTCCTCCTCCCCCGCCACCTCCTCCTCCGCCGCAAGTAAAATTGATTGCTCCACCTCCTCCGCCATCCTCACCTCCTCCTCCGCAAGCAAAAGTGACTGCTCCACCACCTCCTCCGCAAGTAAAAGAAACTGCGCCCCCGTCTCTACCTAGGTCCAACTCCAAGGGAGCGCCACCACCTCCTCCACCTCCACCGAAAGGACTGACACCAGTTCCTGCAAAGGTTAGGAAGGTGCCTGAGGTAGTAGAGTTTTACCAATCATTAATGCGGAGGGATTTGAATTCGCGACGTGACTCCGGCTGTGGCGCGGCCGATGCTCAGGCGGCAGGAACTACAACCAAAGACATGATAGGGGAGATTGAGAACCGTTCTGCGTATTTACTAGCGGTAAGTTGGGAATTACCTCTTATGGACATGGTTATATCTTTATTTAACCGCTTTTGCCACTCGAACAATGCCTTTCTGTCACTGAAATTGACTCGTCCTAACGTCCTTTATTGTACATTTGCTGCTGTTTTTCTTGGAATTTCGCTGAGGTTCTTACAGGATAAGAAGACAGTGGTTGGTTAGATTCGAAATCAAAATCGCATCTGATTATCAATTTTAATTATTTTAAATGCAGATTAAGAGTGATATAGAAACTCAGGGAGATTTCATTAGATTCTTGATTAAAGAAGTTGCAGGTGCTGCATTCACAGACATTGAGGATGTTGTTCCTTTCGTTAAATGGCTGGATGATGAGCTCTCCCACTTGGTACAGCTTTTTATATTGTTTAGTTTTCTTAAAGGATTAGACTCGGAAATGCTCAGAAATGGAGCATAGTTCGTTGTTGTTAACTAGTTAACCGTCTAATAAATCTTATGGGAATAGGTTGATGAAAGGGCAGTGTTAAAACATTTTGATTGGCCTGAGAAGAGGGCAGATGCATTAAGAGAAGCTGCATTTGCATATTGCGACTTAAAGAAGCTCGTGTCTGAAGCCTTGTCATTTCGTGATGATCCTAGACAGCCTTGTGATATTGCTCTCAAGAAGATGCAGGCATTGTTTGAGAAGTATGAAAATTTCCTAATTTTATTACGTACATTGTCGACAAATTGATAAATTAATTTAACTTCTGCGTTGTTGGCGACAGATTGGATCAAGGAGTTTTTAATTTGTCAAGGATGAGAGAATCAGCTGCAGAAAGATACAAAGCATTACGTGTTCCAATTGACTGGATGCTAGACAAGGGATGTCAAAGTCAGGTGAGTTTTTTTGTTTGTTCTGAAATTCATTTGTGTACAATCATAAGTTGGATATGGATTAGATTCAAAGGCTTGATTTTTATCATGAAGTTATTTTTCTTGTTTGCATATGATTGTGAAGGCAAAATGGCTATGTCCCTGTGTGAAAGTGACATTGAATTTGTGCATCTGTAATAAAAATGGGCTCATTCTTGACACCCTCGTGAATTGAAACTGTGCATATGCCATTCTGATTGGGAAATAACCAAATGGACTTTACTGCAATATGCGTACGAAATTTTGCAGATCAAGCTGGCAGCTGTGAAGCTGGCAACGAAGCACATGAAGAGAGTCTCTGCAGAGCTCGAAATGGTTGGAGGTGGCCCCGAAGAAGAAGACCTTATCGTCCAAGGTGTTACATTTGCATACCGAGTCCATCAGGTACTAAAAAATGACAAAATTTATGATGCTTCTTTATCTGGTTAAACATGCTATTAGTTAGCTAAATATCATGTTTGCCATCAAGCTTGTTTAAAAGTAATTGCTGAAGTTTGCCTTTTGTTTCGAATTGGTCTTTTGGTTAAAATCCGTTAATTTCTCAAATGGAATATAGAACATCAAAGCAGAAATATGACGTAGAAAAAGTAGGGACCAAACTAAAATAAAAAGTTATCTTCAGAGATCATTGTAAAACTTCATTATAACTTGAGCGACTAGCAGAATTTTTTTACCTCTTTGGTCATGCAAGATTTTTGGTCTCCATGTAGCCCAATGTGAAGATTTTGCCGAGTTTTCACAGCTTATTTTACTTGTACGTCATGTTTTTACAGTTTGCGAGTGGGTTTGATGTGGAAACAATGAGGGCATTTCAGGAGCTGAGGGACAAAGCTAGATCATGGAATGTACAATGCCAAAATCAGCAGCAACAGAAATTTGTTTGCAGGTCTTCTACAGCTTTTGCTAAATCTGTAGCAAACTCAGCTTCAGAATTTCACAATATATAACATGAACAATTTGTGAATATCATGGCAGGCATTTAGTCTTCAATATATATTAAAGATTCCCTTTTAACTATGGATTCACACAAGTTTTTTTATTCTAAATCCCAGAAAACTTTAATGGATAAATGAGCAATTAGATGTTTCTGATTGCTTCGACAATCAATTTGCTTTTGCATTCTTGTGTAATCTCTATTTATTGTTTTCTTCCGAATAATTGCAATCATCATGACTGCAAGTAGACAAGAGACGTGAGGAAATGTGTCCAACAAAAAAGACTACTTGTTGCACGGTATCCCTTTTGGTCTTAGAGACGATTTAGTAGTTACCTACAAAAGCCTTTCTTTCAAGTAGACTCTTATTACAGCCCATATTCTACATTTCCTGTCTTATTCTCCATTCATAAATCACAACTACTAACCATACTTTCCAATGCCTCCACAAATGTACAACAAATCTGTTGAAGAAAATCAAAAGCAAATATAAGTAAAAATTCTCTCTTCTTTTGAATCATCACATGACAAGTGCAGCATATAGAAGCTGATTCCAAGTATCAGGCAATCCAGGTAAGCACCAATGGCTACAATCAATACCCGAATGTTCACCGCTATAAGCCGATGGGTGAGCATCTTTCCTTAATTGGGACAAGGTGGTGATATCTAGAAGATATACAGGTTTTTTTATTCTGCTCAGTACTTTGTTAACAATAGAAACTTCTGGGGGTGTCCCTCCTGGATATATCGATCCTGATAGTGGTTGTTGTTCACCGTAGCAGTTCTTTGATCCCGACCTCCAATCCCTTCCCCTGTTTCAAATAGAATCAACCACTCATCATCCTAATGCGAATTAAAGTTTCTGTTACAGTTAGAAGCCATCAAAGTATATATTCATTATGGGTTACGAGGGTAACGAGTTCTCATGAATGAAACTGTTGAAAAATCGATGCATCCCAAATCATATAACTAAGATGACCTCGAATTCTTGGTTAAAAATGAAAAAAAGTGATTGGCATCTTATTGATCTTGCTTCATTCGGAAGAGATAAAATGGATGATGATAAATGACTTACTGATAGTGAGTGGGAGAGATTCCCTGGAAGAACACTTTCGTTTTTGTTGGATCAACATTGAGATCAACCCATCGAGCCCATGTCGTCAAACCTTTGTAAAATGCCAGTAAACGGTCCATATCTTTGGATATAGTAGAGCCATCTTGTACATAATCCCATCTGCAAAGACAAGATAATCAAGACATTCTCTTTTCCTTTCATTCTACATTATTACTTTCTCCGATTTACAAGAACAGAAGAACAAGATTTGGAATTTAGGGTTGCGTACGGTTGCGATTTTCCTTTATGAGTCCACCAATGCCATGTATTGAATATAAGCATATCCATTCCTTTCCATGCATTTCCTTGTTGAATGGAGTCCAGTTTCAGCACTCGCCCGATATTTTCTCTCTGTATATCTACCAAGTACGGAGTACGATAAAGAAGAATGGAAACTCCATAGTCCTGCAACCACAATTGAGTTTATATTTATTTGCAAATTATAAGTTTGTTTATTGTCCTATTTTTCCAAATTCAAATCAAGAAAAGATTTTGAAAATTAAATATTGCTTGAATCCTGTCAACAAAAAATAAAAAGTGTATTTCTTGAATCAAGATTGAGGAAATATAAAATCTTATTCTTTACACGATATTGTTACATATTACGAATCAAATATAAACTTGATAAGAGAGATGTTTATGAAACAGGGACTTTAGATAGGAATTCACCTCAGCCCTTGATTTCAAGAATTGAGGAAATATAAAATCTTATTCTTTACGCGACATTGTTACATATTACGAATCAAATATAAACTTGATAAGAGAGATGTTTATGAAATATGGACTTTAGATAGGGATTCACCTCATCCCTTGATTAGAAGGGATTCCCCTTCTAATCAAGGGCTGAGGTGAATCTCCGTTTAATACCCTATCTAAAGTCCTTGTTTGACTAGCATTTCTGACTTGATAATTGATGCGTTAGGAAAAGCTAAAGAACGGTTAGATTCTACTTTTTATATTTTAATCACTGTTTTATTGGTGCACTCTTTACTTAACAACATAGAATAAGAATATAAACCCCATAATGATGTTTCTAGAGGATAATTATATCAAACTGACTTTTTAATTTAATTTTATTTAATATATAACCTTTTTAATATTTTAGTAATAAAATTACCATTTTATACAACGACTCCAATTAGAAAGCAGCTAATATTTTGACCAATAGATGCTTTAATAATATCTTAGAAAATTCATATTTTTACTTGAAGGAAATAATTTTAAAATAGTTTTATTTATAAATAGATGGTACTTTTGTGTCTATTAGAATGTGTTGTTGAAAATAAAATTTAATCGTTCAAAAATGATTTATAATTTTTATTTTTCAAACGTTTACGATTTGAATTCTCGGTTCACTTATTAAGCCCTTGTTCGAAAGTGATATTTGAAAATTACTTTTTCCATCCTCATTTTTAACCATAAATTCTTCAAAAAAGTTATTTTCACATTTCACCATAATTTTTTCGTATTTTTTAATCACAAATTTTGGAAATAATTTAATTTTCGAATAATTATTTCTACAAAAGCAAGAAAAAATACTTTTAAATATGAAAACAATTTAAATATTTTTTAGAAATCGGACTACAATCTTCGATTCCAATTCAAAAATGTTTGATTTCGATTGAAATGTTCATATCTAGTGCGTGTTGTCTCTCTTATTCTCTAGACACACGTAATTATCCCATTACTATTCAGAATCATGAACCCTGTCCAATGCAGTTATGTTTGTCCCCAAGTTCAACATCTCTCTCACGTACACACGCATGTACATCAAGAAAATGCAAGGCAATATAATTTCGTGGTTATAATTGGTCAACATATTTCTATCATCGATGAAAATGGTAGTCTTTTTCTTACACTATTCAATTTTCGGTTGTTTCATCTATATATTTTGAGTATATTATTTCTTATTTCAGTAAAATAAGTATACTTAGTCCGTGTTTGGTTTAGATAAAAATTAGGTTTTTAATATATTTTTGATGAAAGATGGTGGAATGAGTGATTGAAAAGTTGTGAATTCTTTGAAATGTGTAATTAAAATTAATTATTAACTTTCATTTAAATTTTAATCTAACTTTTTAGTGGAATCAAATTGGGGCTTACTTATATAATTTGTAAATCTGAGTTCATACATAACAACAACCGTCAATCTGGAAGCTAAAACTACTTATGATTTTCATTGACTTAAAGCAAGAAAAAAGAAAAAATAATAAAATAAAATAAAGTGTCTTAAAATTTTTCCCCTCTAATGTGAAAGTCGCCCACAAGTGTTGCATCACATTTCACATCGTAGAAGGTTGATGATGACTCGTAACTATACTTTTAAAGATGGAAAAATATAAGACTCTATATTATATTAATAGTAAGTCGATCAATCTAGAGCTCGAATAAGTCTTGAGTTCTAAAATTGACATTTTCAAACAAGCCATCGTTTTGTACAAACCTACTAAAGGTAAAAGTCTCACGTCTATTAAACATAAAAATAATAATCAAAATGTAAAAAGTAACAAGGTGTCAAGATTGACCACTCGGTATGGACAACTTTAAATTAGAAGAGTAAACAAAAATCGCCAATCCAAACCGAAACCATCTTAGAATGGATTATGGATCTATGTACATGGTACCAAACCAACAACTTAAAAAAATAATGATAAAAAAAAAATTAAAAAAAAAATAATGAATCGCTTTGATTTAAAGTTATTTATGCTTGCAACCCTTTGAATTTTTGCTATGATTGGAAGCAACAAAAGGTGGCAAATAGGAAATCCAGCAAAAAAGTGTCTATAATTTGTTTCTATTAAAATATGCAAATAGAAAGAGAAAAAAAATTTCTAACCTGAAATGTTACAGCAGAAAGTGAATCCTTCTTGACGAAGCTGGTCTTGGAATTTGGTACAGAAGCATGTATCATACAAGCCAGAGATTCCCACTGATTCAAACTCAGTGAGTCACCTACAAACATAATCTTCTTCCCCCTCCATCTTCTCAGAAACTCCATCCCATCAAATCTGCAAAAGAACAAAACACGTTTAGTTTAGTAGTGGGCGACTAGACAATACTAAAGAAGAAAAAGAATCTAAAATCTGTACCTGGGCAAGTCACAAGAGTCTGGTTTCCATGAATACTTAAGATACTGTTTATCAGGGCGGCCATACTTTTGGCAATCAAACTCAGGTTCAAGAAAAGGACAACTTGAAGATTGATAAAGAGGATATGAAGTATCAATAACCCATTTGCCTTGAAACATATTGCACCCACTTAAGAGTTCTCTATCCCTACTAACATTATGCACCGACGGTGTCGTGGCATCCGGCAGTAGTGCTGCAGATGCAAATAACAGATACTGAAGGAGAAAAAATGATAAGGTTTGATACAAAAAGTTTTTCTTCATTATTGAGTTTCGTTACATGAGAGAGGGGGACACAGGTGAAAGTAATAACAAACAAAAGTAATGAAGAAAAAGCTGTGTACCATTTATATTCTTGGTTCACATGGTTCGCTTGGACCGTCGGTACAGAGATATATCAATTTTTATTTGTCCAACATGAGTTGGGACATCTTGGATTTATTAGACAAAAAGTGACACCTCATTCGCTTTATTGGAACTTAAAAAATTATTCTTGTCATCTGGATTTTTATTTATTTTTTTCATTTTTTTGTGTGTTTCTACTTTCTAAAAAAAGTTGAACCCCAACCTTAAGGGTTCCCCATCGCGCCTGTCCTAGAGTATCGTGAGGGAGGTAAATCGTAGGTTATGCTTCCAAGGGTACAAGGTGGAAGGCTGCTTGTACACTTGTACTTACCCAAGAGCCAAATTTATATTTCAGGATTCAAACCCTTGACGCGACAGCCTCAAGTAAAGTTGGATTTCTTCACCCTCTTCTTTTATCACTTGGAGATGTACCTTGGGGGCGTGTTTCTACTTTCTATGATAGTGTGAAACGGAGATACCTAGAGCATATTTGGCTCTTAAAATGTAACCATGTCATGCACGCTATTTCCAACAAGTGAAGACCAACTTCTCACATGTTAGAGTAATCTCTCACTTAGTTTACCTATGAAAAATATTAATTTACAAAAAAAGAATTAGACTACTATTTTAATGAGAATGGCATTTGAAGTTGGAATTGTAAGCGTCGTCGGTCCAATCAAGTTTGGACGTAAACACATTTAATGTATAATTGATTCATTTCATCTATAACGAATCTATAGAATTAGTAAATTCAAATATTGGTAATCTTCCTCAAAGTTTGAGGATTTTCCTTTCAAAATTGGTTAGCAGATTTTAACGTCAATTCATGCAATTTATGGTTTCATTGAATTTGGATTAAGAAGCAAATTGGAATGATTAAGGAATGGGTTTCTGTAATGGTCCTTGTCTTCTTGTCCCTACGATTCCATACCACAGCTCACCTTTGAAAAATTCCTGTGATAGTGATCTATTGGTTCATTGATCTCACATTCTGGAGTGGGTCCCACGTCTATAATTTCATTGGAAATTCATCCATTATTTATATATACTTCCATTTTATTAATGTTTAATTGGAAAAAATAAACTATTGTCAAAATTACCAAAATAGAAAAGGTTTTGATCTTCCTACGGTCTTTCATGTTATCATGTCATCCGAAGAAGCTCTCGTGTGTCGGTGTGTGTCTCTTCTTGGTCTTTGCCCTTTTGGCAATTTAAACCACCAGCTTTTAAACATAAAAATATCAGCAAATATACTTAAATCAACTATTTTTCTTACTTTTAAGTAAAAAAATGTTCCTTTTTTTTTTTTTTTTCCTCAAAAGGAACTCATACTTTACTTTTTTTTAAAACAATAATATACCTATTTTTAGTTTTACTAATAAATATGTTTTTTTTTTTAAATTTCAAAGCTTGCTTAATTACTTACGTCATACTTGTGATTATTAAGTTGTAGCCAAACATGACTGACGGGTCCTACTTTTTGCTTCCCAAAAGCTCTTAATTTTGCCCGTGAGCTGATCCCTGAAAAATTTGTATAAAAAATGTAAATAAAATTTTCTTTGTTCAATAACTCCAACTTTTGGATGATTAAGGAGCTTGATGACTTCGAATTTTGTCCATCAAACGTGATCAACGGATCTCTAGGCTTCTCACGTTTACTCCAACATGATTGCTGCACATTTGGACAAACCGTTGATCACACTTAACTACCTCCAGTGGTGATAAAGTTGGCCACTGCACTCTAATTGTTGGGTTAGTTGAAGTAATAAATATGTAAGTGTGAGAGGACTTTAGAGGCGAACATTCAATGTAAAATGGGGTCAACTATGGATAGATAGAATAGTGAGATAACAAAGTTATAGCTTGAGATTCTAAACTTGCATATTTTTGGAATGACCCGTCGTGTAAGCTTTTATAGTAGAATATGATGAATACTAGCAGTAGAGTGAAAGTGTAAGTGGCTTCATCCATGCGGCTGAGGCATTTTGTCGAAGTTGTCAATCAATCATAAGTATTGAATGCTAATATCATTTTTTTTGCTCATAAATTTGACATGAGACTTAGACTTGATCTGATTGGTTAGATATGACGATGACAGTAGTGAATTGTCACATCAATTACATAGCAAGATTTGCGTGAAAAATCTCCTGCCGAATCCCTTTTGCAACCTCTCCCGTAATGAGGATTCGACTCTTTCACATGACCTTACCTCAGCTAAATGGGTTTGATATCCCATATGGGTTTGAACTCTTTACAGAATTTGGCCAAACTGCCTCTTGGACAAAGTGATGTGGAAAGCTTGCCCATGTTCGTTTGTCACGTCGAATCATTGGATCCTTGTCATGCGAGGCATAACATAATTCATACCTATTTTTCGAAATTATCTCATGCTTTACTATCGAAAATAATTATTTATTTACTTTCAGTTATGATTAGGCAAACTTTTTGATCTTCTCCGAGTTTTCTCAGGCCTAATTTTTGCTACTAAAACACACTTACTTTGCAATTATTTTTTTTTAAAGAAAAAGAAAAAGAAAAACCTACTACTGTTAAACATGTAATGAAAAGTTGATTTGTCCTCATGTGATAGGGGTGTCTAAAAGATGTAATGTACAGTTAAACTTTTCCATTTTTGACGTTTTTAATAGAGACGATATTTAAAATGTAATAATTGGTGTAGTATATAATGAAATCATGTGGATTGGTACGTTAGTGGACAATGGAGAGTCAACCCATGCAGGTCGTTTGTGTGGGGGAATCTAAAGCAAGCAATCTTTTTGGATCAAACAAGTCATATTCAGAATGGGCTATTTTCTGGATAACAATTTGACAGTGGAGATCCACTAGAAATTGCTGTATCAAGGGATTATTGATTTTAAGATTTATATTCATGAACTATTGAAAATGATAGGTACAAGTTGTGATATCGACTTAAAAAAGTGACTTGGTTTTTGCATTTAGGTTGTTTAAATATTGGCTATTATGTTTTTTCGGGATGAGAATTATCTTCCTGCAACTCGAGAATTGTCCATCTTTCAATCAGGTCTACCAAAATCTATATTGTGTATTGAAAATCTATAATTGCTTTTGTTATTTACGATTATTAGATATACATTTTTTTAATTTTTATTTTTGGCTGAAACAAATAAAAGAATCTAGATGAATCTCAAAAAATAATTGGTATAATCGAATTAATTTAACCAAAGGTTTTCCTTTAAACGAAAAAATTAACCTAGGGTTCATCCAAGAGAAGTGGACTTGGGTCTAAAAATGATGCAAAACGTTATCATAAAAGATACCAAGTAAGAAAGTGTGATACAGATGCACCAGCCGGGAATCGAACCCGGGTCTGTACCGTGGCAGGGTACTATTCTACCACTAGACCACTGGTGCTTGGATGAGAACCAAATAAATATGACTTATTTAATCTGCTGCAATTCCTTTCTAGACAAGATCATGAGTACAAGTCCTTGTACTCGAAACCAGTCGATGAGATCGGAACCTCCTTTTTATTGTTTTATGTTCTCTATCGCGACCTGAATTGACTTTGGTCAAACAAAATATCACTCAATAGAAGTCGAGACTGCTAATTGGATGCATAAAGGCACATTTGATATGTAGTCCAATACTTATAAGCCCAATTTAACAAACATGCTATAGAAGTTCATAGTCAACCTCTATTTTTTATTTCAAATATTATTCCAGTGTCACAAGTATGAACCGATTACACAATATATACAACACAATACATTAAAATAGCACCAAAACGTTCATCCCACGTTTCAGCTTACATGAAACTTGGAGCTACGAAATTCGATTCAAAACTTCCCCCACAAATTTTTATTTTTTTTTGAATATCAATATTCAATTTCCATGCATCCCATGTAGCAGCATTTCATCACTTCACACCGACTTAAAGACGTACAAATCACTAAGGATAGTCGAGATAGCTAACCCTTTGCCTCTTGTGCGGAAGCGTAAGTTGAGATAATTCTTCTGACTCGGACGACTTATCCACGACACAACTCAAAGCCCCGTGAATCGAACTCACTATAAGTTCCCGAGCATCAGCACTGTTATTCATGTTGTCTCTTCTACCAGTCAATAAGAACACAATCTTCACCCGACCTTCCAGAGTGGAGATCTCGACATTTGCCAAATCTACCGGAAGCACATTGAGACACTGCCTTGTATCAGACAGCAGATCAGGCCTGTAATAACAACAAATAGAAGCCCTGAAGGAAAAAGATCCATCTACTGCATCGTCATCAAGTTGTTCAACTTTCACTTCATCGGAATCTGTTGGAATGTGTAAATCTTCACTGGCTTGTTTTGCAGTTTTCTTCAACTGTTTCACTTGGCTGATAACTTCCGCAAGTAATGTAGCTTTGTCCATCTATCGACAAACGGGTGACCAAAAAAAAGAGTTAAGCTTAAACATAAGTTCTTGACATGATATACAACAGAGGCAAATTTAATTCGGAATCAAAACATTTACATTTAAAATCTTATGCATGTACATTTTTCAAAAATAATTGTTGGCTAAGAGAGTCTTAAGACTTAAAATAACAATCTTTGTCAACTCCTATAACATATTGAACCACTTCGTCTAAAAGCTTAAATTATTAAAGGGGGACACGCTTATGTATTAAAGTTTTGCCCTTGTTTGATTCATATTATTTTCAAAATGCATTTTTCTCTCTCTTCTCTTCAACCACACATAATTCAATAAAATAATATTACAAGCAAACTCAAATCTTTTCCTTATTTTTTAACCACACATTCTCCATCAATCTAATATTCTAAAATACATTCTTAGCCTTTTAATGGGGCTCAAACAAGCCCAAAATCTTCCTATATCTCGATTGACATTAATATGCCAACTCATAGACTGACTAGCATGAATTCGAAAGTCAAGTTAGACAGATTCAAAGACCAATGAGCAACAACTCCATTTTATGCAAACTTAATTGTCAAAGTAATAACCCTTATGCCTTGTTCAGTTCAAACAGTTTGCAACATAATTTTGTTCAATTAAGTCAAATGTCAATATTGTGTGACGATGAAAGTGATGTGATAGCAACTTACTACATGTTCAAAATCTATGTATACTCCATCTCTAAATGTCTCTTTTAATACGTAACCCCAAACCACAAAAATATATTAAATTAAGTAAAGTATGACCTGAATTCTAATCATATTGCAATAATATATAAGAATACTCAAATTATTATAATTTAAAAAGAAGTCCATGGGGAAAAATTGGAAAGAATCATAGCACATCAGCTGGTAGGTAGCCTACTATCCAATCAAAACCTTCTATATGCAGACACCTGACTACTGTGACCTTAGATTATGAAATACTAATCAACCATTTTAGAAGAAGACAATGATTAAATGCTTTTATAATTTTTAAGTCGGCAAACAACCCCAAGTTTTTCAAATTAAACAATAGTACAGCACATTGACATTTAACGTTACATCCTTAGCCAAAAACATTAATCTCAACCATTAACTTAAAAACATCAAGCTCGAACATTACATCCTAGGCCAAAAACATAAACATCCTTACTGCACCATATCTATTGTTTATTAGTAGTATAAAATTTCAAAGAACCAATAAGATGGCATACTCTAGAACATCAACCTCAAAGGTTACGTCCTCAGACAGAAACATGAACATACTGACTGCACCAAATTCGCCATTTATCAGTATATACACATAGCAAGTTCTGTTAAAGCATAATCAGCCAGGGAAAATATTAGGTTTTACTGTTAGGTAGACATCATTTAATAATTTTACTGTTTCGTCAATATAACCATTATCTTGAATGCAATGGCGAGGCTAACAATTGCATCGGTTCTTAAAGTCTTGCATTGACTTTAGGGATTCCTGCACAGTGATTATAAGCAATTTCAATTTTCTTTTCCCATATTTTGTATGTGGGAGTTACTTCTTTAACCAAATGGCTCATATATTAAGCATGAATCAGAAGTATAAATAGTAAGCAAATATAGAGAATTGGATTTATCTACAATAAAAAGAAAGCTTAACTCAAAAGTAGAATTCATGTGAAAAAAACAGCAACAGAGATAGAGAAGATAATCGAGGAGCAGAAATTTTCAGCTAACATGGTGATTTCTGAAGCAAATGATCAATAAATAGAAAACACACGAAATGATCAATGAAAAGAAACGTACAAAAGTCAATAAGAACCAAATCCAACAGAAAATTGCATGGATCACCAATGTTTCTCACTTTCATGAAAATGTATCACTAGAGATAGTTCACATCTCAGGCAACAAGTATGGATCTCCTTAATAATTTAACACTTTCGATGAAATGAATAAAAAGTGATACACACTAAATCTCTCAGAAGAAGTATGAATCCCATTAGCTGTGACGATCATTCCAACAATGCAGAGAACTTCACTCATGTCACTAAATCAAGCATGACTATAAACAAAAGAGCACAAGAACATACATTATGTGCCATGCGAGTTATGACAAATATAGACATGAATATTAAATACTATCGTAACTCCAGATCATAACCAGCAAAAGATATCACCAACCTTTTCTTCCCCAGGTACAAGACCTCGAAGCGTCACCAAATGAGCATTAATCCTCTCTCTCCTCCTCCTCTCAGCCTCGCTATGGCTCTTCAAAGTGGCAACTGTTTTCGCCTCTGAAACACCGCACTTCTTCCCTGTTTTGCCTAAAGTTTTCACTAGCTCCCCCTTCTCACAGTCCAATACTAATGATTGCTCAACTGACATAGCCCCACTTCCCCAATTCCCTGGAAGTCCCTCACAATCTGATTTATGGTTTAAGCTATATGGGTTCCTATAATACATACTCATACTCTCAATCCCACCGTATTAATAACGTATAAAAATTATATGAGTGCGTATATATGCATAACCACGTATATAAAGCTAACACAATCATAATGCGTTGATTTGCAAAATTAATTATTTGTTTTCCCAATTCAACAGATTTAAGCTGCAAGAAAATTATCACAATGTAATATGACAAGCATATGTATTAAAATCAAGTGCTTTGTGTGTGCGCTATCAAGTGTTTGAAATTAACAAAAAAATTAAAATCTAGATTATCCCCGCATGAATAAATTGCACATTCTTTCACATATAACTAAAAAAGATTGGATAAAAGCAAAATAAGAGTGAAACTTCTACGGGTCAAGGCCAGGAGGGCGGGTGGTAGGTGCGAACCAAAACGACAGCATTTTAGAGCGGAGCTTGAGAGTGGCAACAGACGAAACGGCGGCGTTGGAGGTGGTTAATGGAAGAGACATTATTTTTATTAGAAGAAAAGTAATAGAAGACGACAAATTGGGATTCTGCTGGGTTATGGGGAAAAGAAATCAATGAGAATAAATCCACATCTTTTTCTTCTTAAAGGTCTTGAATTCCTGCATCTCGATGAGCTTTTTGGGTTGAATCTTTGACAATTTGATGCGAGAACCAAAAAGGAAAACCCAGAAAAATTGTATCTTTTGTGGTTGTGAACAGAAAATTACAAAAGAAAAGTAATAGAAGACGACAAATTGGGATTCTGCTGGGTTATGGGGAAAAGAAATCAATGAGAATAAATCCACATCTTTTTCTTCTTAAAGGTCTTGAATTCCTGCATCTCGATGAGCTTTTTGGGTTGAATCTTTGACAATTTGATGCGAGAACCAAAAAGGAAAACCCAGAAAAATTGTATCTTTTGTGGTTGTGAACAGAAAATTACAATAGCCTACTCCACGAAGTTAATTTATAAGGCAGACAATAATCTAATCTGCCATGGGAAGTAACGAAATAAGCTTAAAAAATTAGTGCAATACAAAACACAGAGAGAGAGAGGAAAAAAAACTAAAAAAGAGAGGAACATGTCAGATCTTGACTTGCCTGTTCCTCAATAATACCAGGTTTGTTTGATTGTGAGGATAAAATTTGGAGAAAAAGAAAACGAATTTTAGAGAATTGAATTGATGTTTTATTGAGAATTGAATATTAAATATGTTTGATTGATATAATTTTTCATGTGAAAATTGTTGAAATTTTTTATCTTGGTGTTTGTTTGACTTTTTTCATGAAAATTGTTAACTAAAAGGACAAAATTTATAATAATTGCGGATAGAATTTGTTCTAAAAAAGAGGACCAGAAAACCAAACAAAAACAAGGAATTGACACGTGTGGAAAGAAGTTGGAAAACAAATTCCATATAATTTTTTAGCAATCAAACAACGCATTTAGGTGGAGAATGGAAAAAATTCATGTAAAATGTGTTGTATCAAACAGGCCTTAGGGCTGTCAATGGATCGGATCTGCACAAATTCAATCCAATAATTCGACAGATATTTAAATATTAAATCAAAATGCGATTAGCTATGTTATCGGACATTCGATTCGATAACCCGACCCGAAATTGAAAAAATTAGAAAAATAAAAATTTATTTTTCATTAAAAATTATAGCCTCAACAAGATTTTAATTAATTATTTATTTTAAATAATATTTGAACTATCTTGATGAACTCACTTATTATATTAGAAGGCCCAAATCGTTTTTTTTTTTTTTTAATCCAAGTTATGCTTCTTTAAAAGAGACACCTCTTAGAATGCTTTATTAATATTCCAATATAAGATATTAGCTTTTTAAAAGATTCCCCTCTTCCAATGATTTAGTGATATTTCAATGTGGGATATTAATCATAATCATTTGACAATTGTAAGTGTTTAATAGTTTAATTTATTATTCTCATGAAAAAATTATAGGCTCAATAAGATTTTAATTATAAACAATATCAATTTGAACAAAGTAAATTATTTTGGACATTTTAATTGTTTGTTTTTTAGGTAATAAAACAAATTACAATAGTAAATCTAATCAATATATTATTTATTAGTTTTATCTTATTCTAATTAATAAACAAATTAAATCTCTTCAAAAAAATTTCAATTAAAAATATTATACTATTATATAACATTATTTATTATTTAAAAATTACATGTAAAGTATAATACAATTCTCAAAATGGAAAAAACAGTGTCATAAATTATGGAGTTAATTGTTCCAATGGTCACTGAACTTATGTCTATGTCTTTGTCTTTGATTGACTACTGAATTTTAAAATGTCGAGTTTTGGCCGCTGAACTTTGAAAAATGTCGAATTTCAGTCACTGAACTTAGGTCCATGTCTTCGATTGTTCGCTAAAGTTTAAAATATCGAGTTTTGGCCACTGAACTTTAAAAATATTATACATTACTCATTGAATTTTGAAAAATGTTGTATATTATTCGCTGTAAACTCGATATTTTTCAAAATTTAACAGTTATGCTTGTGAGTAATGTACGACATATTTCAAAATTCATTGATCAAAACTCGACATTTTAAATTTTAGTGAGCAATCTAAGATATACACCTAAGTTCAATGAGCAATAAAAGATATTGACCTAAATTTAGTGACCAAAACTCGATATTTTAAATTTCAGTGGTCAAAACTCGACATAGACCTAAGTTCATTGACCAAAACTCGACATTTTAAACTTCAATGATCAATCAAAGACATTGATCTAAGTTCAATGACGATTGGAATAATTAACTCTAAATTATGCGATAATATAAAAAATATAATATATTATTATAATAAATCAGATCGAGTTGTTATCGAATCGGATTGATCAATATCCATATTTGATTTATTTAGTTAATGGATTGTTGGATTCGAATCTCAATCGAATTATCAATCAAAATCCAATCCATTGTTCTTCTAGGATTAATTAATTGGGAAATGACTTTTACAACTTAAACCCATACGATAATTGTCAATTCCTACTACAAGTGTACCACTATTAAATTAAAGAGTTGGCTTGAAGTCAACTAAACGTTTGTCATATAAAAACGAAAAAGAGATTTGTAGACAAGTTTGAATTGAATTTAACTCTGTTATTATAATAGGTTTGTATTATTTTTCTAACATTTATTTTCATTTCATTACTTGTTTAAGTGCTTATAAGTAGGTCCCAATAATTTATTTAAGATTGTCGGTGTTATTTCAACTTAATGTAATATTCACAATTATTTTGTATTCTTAATATATAGTACTTTGGTTTTTCTTTAGACATTTTCTCTTTCCTTTGTCTTCTAAGATTATAGATTCAAGGCTTAAGATGCTTATGTCATCACGATCATTACTTGTTTTCCTCTTAGATAACCATATTTGGAAATTAGATGAGTGAAACGGATGATATAAAATTATGGGTACATTATGTAAATTAGACTTAATAAAGATTAATTTAATTCAATTTGACATTTGGTCAACATTTTTTTTTAAATTTATTCTCTATAGTAGTAAGCACATACTTTGCACGTCTATGTATGGAATAAATAATATGCGCAATGTTGATCCCAGAATATGTTGCCAACAGATACCAGACTCATCTGTGCACACGTAAGCCCGGTCCAACACGCTAAGACACGTAGACGATCTAGAAATAATAGCAAAAGGGGGCGTGGGAGCGACTCAAAGGTGCAGGACGACAACGTTCGAAATCCGGCGAGATGTTTGCATAACGATTGTACAATAATTACCAATCGATCTTTGTAGAATACGAGTATGAATTCATATATATTGCAAGAGAGTAAAATTTAAAGAATGTTGTATTTGTTCTTGTATTGAATCTTGCGTTACCCTGTGAGAGATACATGGAGAAGTATTTATAGTATTACAACTTAGATCATGGCCCTTGGTTGGGAGTACATGTGGCCTCATCTCGTAAGTATACATGTCAAATTATATGTGTCACATTTGATTTCCTAACCTGCTACACATTAATTAATTGGTGGCTCAGCCACTACATTAACAAGACAATGCACTTGTATTCTATGATGGGTGTCCCATCAATCACTCAGAAAGGATCCTTGTATAAGACCGAATCTCTGTGGAGGAGTGCTGCTGAGAGCCTCAGGACCTCGGAGGAAGGGCCTCAGCTGCAAGATCTCATCGGCGTATTAGCTTCGGCGGTAGCACTTGACCACGTCTAGTGTTGTTCTGTTGGCATGGGGGCATCAGATAAGATGCTACGTGGTTCGGCAGAAGTGGGCTATAAACCCCAATGGGTCGGCTAAGTGTGTCAACACGTAACAATAGTCCCCCAAGTCCAAGTATGGTCATTTTATGTAATGCATGGACTTTTATTGTGGTGAAGGGTGTGGGGTAAAAATTGAGAATTTTTTTTTGTACCTTGACTAATAATCCCCCAAGTCCAAATATAGATATTTATATCATGGTTGAAGTTGAAAGTGGTGGTGTCGCTGTGCTTGGAAAAGGTGGCTGAACTGCGAAGAAACAGAAGAAGTCGAGGCGGTGAGTGGATCGAACCTGCCGAAGCTTGTGGAAATGTGGCTGAACTACGAAGAAGCAGAATAAGAAGCCGAAGCTATGAGTGGATCGAACCTACCGAGGCTTGTGAAGAGTTATGATTGTCTTCGATGTTTGTGCCAATGATTTGATGTTTTGTGCATGTTACCAAGAAGAGGCAGCCGAGCCATTTCGACTTCCAAGACATGTAGACTGCTGCATTGAATGGGCAATGATGGCTACAACTGGGCCTTCTAGAAGGAAACGCGTATGAAGAGGTGTGTGAGGAGCACATTTGAATCTGAGGCGTAGATTTCAAAACGATTTGAATTCTACGCTTCGGATTTAACCCAGAATTGGAGGGCTGAGATTTATGGGGCCTTCATTCAAGGGTTGGCGTTCGTCTTGGCTCCCTATAAAAGGTCAAAGACTCCCATTTTGAACCCTTCTTCATCATTTGCTTTCTGTGTTTTTTGCATTTCGTTGAGTCTCCAGCGTCCAAAGTCTTGCTCCGATTTCAAATTTCGACATTTCACAGTTCCTCGTTTGTTAGTCATTCCCGTAGGTATTTTTTGCAAGAATCATTTCTTTTACGATCTTTGTCGATTTTTCACTTTTTGATATGGAATCCACTTCGAGTAGGAAATTGGTGACCATTGCTAGGTTGGGTGAGGGGCTGTTCTGAGTGGGGACTTTGAGGTGGAGTATTATGCCATGGCTGAAGAGCCTATAGATTATGAAGAATAATGGGGGGTTGCTAGGATAGCGTTAAACATGACCTTGAAGAAGTTGAAGGAAATTAGGGAGAAATATTGCGTCCCCCATTACGTGGAAACGTTAGTACCCGAGGCCCACGAAAAGGCTTGTTTTCTGAGGCCCGGATGTGTGGCTATAAGTGAATACCTGTTCAAAGCAGGTATGCGTCTTCCTCTGTATCACTTCTTGAGGGCTGTGCTTAGGAATTTTATGTTGTCACCAACCCAGGTTCTGCCGAATGGGTGAAACCAGCTAGTGGGGTCATACTTCTTGTGGAAAGAAGTGTCATTAGGGAAGGATTTGCCTCTACACGTCTTTCAGACCCTTTTTTAGCATCGCGTCTTGGGTAAAGACGAGTTGAAAGGGTGGTATTATATCACACCCTAGGGAGCTCACGCACCCTTCATGGTGG